ACTCTGAAGAAAGGCGGACTTGCTTGTGGTTGGTGGCTGTAGCAAGCTTTGCACACGGTGCCTGTATGCTCAGGCCTGTGGAGGGCAGGCGACTGTCAGGCCTGCTACAAACTGCCTCTAATTTATAGGTTATCTAAAGATTATAGGATATATATTGAGGTTATATAGGGATCCTGGAAAAATTGAAGCTACACTAGCTTTGTTGTCTAGGGTTTAGGTCGCTCATGGCCATGCGCAATAATCAAAACGCCTTCCACATGTGTATGGTCTGTTCTCTCGCGAGCTACGCTACATACTGTCAGGACAATGAGAGTATGCCAGGCTGCAAGGGGGACCATATGAAAGCCTTATACTGGTGACTGGTTAGGGGCTGGGAGAACGTGCGACCCAGCACTTAACCCTTCGCCATCTTGAACCGGTACCCGAGTCTACAAGAGACACGCGTAGTAGTACAAAGCCAAACATGGGCCCTGGATAAGAACCCTAGACAACCCCTTAACCCACCGTAAGCCTCAAATCGCGAGCCCGCCTGAGCTCGTACTTCTCGATCTCGGCACCATTGTCGATCGGCGGCTTCCTCTGCCCATGCAGCACAAATGCCAGTGGCATCCTTGCTTCTGATGTTGTGCTGGTGCAGCAGCTACTGCTCCTAGCGTTGCTACTGCTCGTTTTTCTCTGCAACCAGGACGCCGGCGCTAGACTCAAAGAAACCCGTACTATATCTGGGAACCCAGCCCCGCCAGAGTCCCACTGCGGAAAGAACTAAGAACCCCATCGATCCTTGATCCAGTGGGGAAGTACGTGCAACGAGCATGGGAATGCCGAAGGAGATTACGATGTCCGAGCATCTAATAGACCAGCGAGATAGATTTTACAAGCAGCGCGCCAACTCAACACTAACACTTGTAACGTGACGCCTCGAAATCAATCTGTACCCCATCATTTAAGCTACACACAGCCGTCATTCAGAGTCTCCTGGGAGCCCACCCCAAAGTGCTTCGGTGGGAAAGGGAGCAAAGCACGCAAAACCACAGCTGGGGAAGCCATGAAGTAGGTAGGGCTCAAGCCACTTAACCTTCAAGCCCCATAAACCCTACACTATACTATGGCGGCTTCTACTTTATTTGACATGTCCCCATTACCATTCCCAAGCTTGAGCCCCTAGAGCCCTAAAAAGTGAAGTAGGGCTCAGGCCACTTGACCTCAATGAACTCCAGCGAAGTGAGCTCTGAGCTGAGTGGTGCTGGCTCATTGGGAACCTTAGCATGTCAGGGTGAGACCGAAGGGTCTGGGTCCAGGGATGTGAGGGGTTGGGGGTCAGGTTTAAAGGCCAAACAGGTCTGGGTCTAAAAACTCCCCTCCCTCTGGGCTGGTACGCATGTGGGGGGGGGGGGGGGGGTTGAGGACTCAGGTTTTAGGGCTGAAGGGATGCTACAAGGACTGCTTGGTTTTGCACCGGATACTTGACGCCTTACAGTGTGGTGTGCCAGATGTTTGAACATTCCACCATTCCCAATTAAGCATGAAGTAGGGGGTTCAAAAAAGCCTTGATGGCATGCAATTGACCTTTTGTCAAGTAGTCACGGGGCTGTGACTACCCGGCATGTGAGCAGTCTTGAGAACGATGGCCCCTCCGCAAAACAAAAAGGACTTTTCGCAACCTTGAGCCCAGAATACTCCGGAGCCTGCAAATTTCTTGACATACAGGAGCTCACTATCTTCACCACTCCACGATGTAACAAAGTTCATTCTGAAGGAGAGACGCTCTTTTGATGAGTTTCGGCGGCCGCTTCGGGAGTTTCAGGCCATTTTTGTTGAAGACCGTCTTGGATGTGTTGCAGTTTCAAGGCTCTACTGTAGCAGAATCTGGGTCTTCAAAGTTTCTCCGCCCCACCTGCTATCGGTCATTGGTTAAACGCAGTGCAGCAATAGAACCCTGCGAACTCAACATACGTCAACGTCGAAGCCTGAACGTGGTGCAAAAATGTGATGTAATGTATTGCCTGCGGTGACCATCTACAGCTAAATGCCCAAGGCACCCCTACAATACAATATGAATGCCTGCCTTGCATCCGTGCAGCCCTTTAAGCACGCTCCCCCACAACCCATTACGTAATAATCTACGGCACGGGGCAGCGAACCCCAAATAGCGGAAGCACATAAGGGACAACAGCAAGAAACAAAGCAAAGAAACAGCAATGCACGTTGCCTAAACATTGCTTTGGGGTTCTGCTGACTACAGGCAGAACAAGGAGGTGTTGCTCAGAATCGAGGCTATCCTTTCGTATCCCCGCCAACATGTAGAACAAATAGAACAGCATGAGCTCATGAACTGGCGGTTGCAAGACATGCTCCAAGACTCACTTTCTGTGGTTCCAGGCGTCCGCAGGCATTCGCACGAGAGCCCCTTGCGGAGACCACTCAGAAGGCCCAACCTGAATAGCGACTTTTTAGATACGTTCAGGGTGCAGATTTTGGGGTTGCCTGAGAAGGAGAGGGCCGGATGAACATGCTTTCATGCATGGCATGAGGTTCTCTTCCTGCACAAGAAAGAAGGTAATACTTTAGGAGCTGGTTTGGGTCAAGGGCCTTCGTGGTAGAGCGGGCCTGGGTTTTGTTTCAGAAAAGCGTCCGCGTGTTGACCCAACTGCCATGAGCTGTGAATTCCAAACACCAGGCAGCATAGCAGTGCACTTCAGGAAGCCGCCGTCCGAAAATCTTAGATACATTCCCTCCCGCCCAAAGCCCCCTTTGAAAAGAACATGGATGTTTGCAGCGCCCTTTTGGAGGATTCCATGTTAGTTCGCTTGTGTAAGTCCTACATCGACTGCAACCCACAGGAAAACGCACTCCAAAAATAGGAGAAAACTGTACTTCACCCTTGACGCAAGAAATCTCTTGTCGTGATGAGATTTGGCAGCCGAAAGCTATTCGGGCTTTTGAGCAAACTGGAGTTTGGACGGGACTAGTAATGATAAACCGGAGAACTCGGCAGGAATAATTGCCATCAACCGGCAGGAAATATCACGCTACGCGGAATGGCACTGCTCACCCTCTTGCTTACTGTATGTGCTTGATCAAGTGATCTCATCTCAGCACAGGTATACTTTTCGCGCATACGCGCTTGATCAGATTCTTAAGTTGTGGAACCCTGTGCCCTCCTCCCCAATCTGCACAGGGTAGCCTTGCACTGAACGATACTGATCCTGGGTCATGCCAGACAATGGCAACTTAGCCTAAATTCCCGAGGCCATGTGCTCATTCAAGGCTTTCAAAGGCTGTAATCGGCATTCCTCTCTCCATGGTTCCTGGGCTAAGATTTCCAAAGACTTCTGCTGCACTTCAGAGCGCTCTCTAGAACTGCCTGAAAACCTGTAAACCCTCAACCCCAACAAGCTCCTCCACAGGCACTCTCCCGAGCATGCCCGTGAGGTCCAGGCTGCGTTGATCACACGCGCTTTCATGGAATACTGTTCTCCAGGCAGCAGGTTGTCGAAGGACCTGGGTAGCTCTTGTGCTCACCTCACTGCCCTGATGTGACCATTGCGAATCGCCTCCCCTAGTCCAACACCCCACACCCCCTCTGACTTAATACTCCTTTAAAGTGCAAGGATACTCTGCTGGGGATATTCCGTAATAAGGCGGGTGGAGAGGTTTACTGTTGGAAGGGTTGGATTGGTTCATGGCAGCTGCCGTCCACGTGCAACTGGAGCACGGGAATTTCGTGCCCCAAACGCCAAATGGTCTGGGGCAGTTCCTTAAATTCAACAGCCGTGACCAACACTTTCGGGCGGGCTGAATGCAATTTAGGTCTGCCGGCTCGTGATCTTTACTTTACTTCTACGTCCTCTAACTGAAGTGGGCAGATCAAGCGCTTCAAATAACCAAGGTGCATATTAGACCTTATAACGAATAAGTACATGCAGGATGGAGGTGGTTCCGCACGCAAGAACAAAGCCTACCGCAGCTCACGAGCTGAGTGAACTTCCGCAAGCCTTGTGTGGGCTGCTGCCAGGCTGATCACGCGAAGCGAACTCTCAGCATACAATAGCCAGCCAAGGCAATTCATCTTCTCAGATTTGTATTTGAAGAGGAGCTACTACTCAGGTGAACAATCTAAAGGGCAACCTGCAATGTTTAACCTGCAGAAGGTACGCTCTGCATTTTGTTCAACCATAGACTTGAGTTGCAAAACTTGGTGCCAGGCCCTCGAACCGTTTTGTCTTTCTCCTTCCTGAGGCGCGTGGACTCCTGAGCTCAAGTTTACTCAGGATGGCCTTGATAGCATTTTGAGCGTAGAGATCTGGCTCAAAGAGCTCACCACATGACCATTAATGTCTTACCAGTACTTATGGATCCTGCATGTCCCACAAGTTGAAGAGAAGATGCTTTAATGCTGTCTGAGAGGTTCTGTCCGGCGCATCATGCTTTTTAGAAGTGGGCTCTAAGGGTCTGAGTGCTCGACTGTCATTCAGTGGATGTCTCGGTCCCACATGCACACTGAATCCTACGCGTCATGCTTCTCAACCCTGCGCCCGCCCCTGGCCAGCTGAGAGGTCGACCTCCAGTGATACTGCAGTGGAAAACTCCTGCACCACCTAGCCAGGAGAACAAGGAAGGAAGGGCGAAGGCGAGGCGACAACTTTGCCATGCAGTTCTTTCTGAGGATTTAAACGCGGAGTGCTGCGCCTTGGATGCCACACGTTTGACATGTAGAACTAAACTAGTTCAGCATCACGTGAAAGTGCCGTTGAAGGTTCAAGTTGCCAGCGTAGCTGGGCAGGGGTTTCAGCATTGCAAGCTCAGAGCTGCAGGTCTAGTCGCGAGTGGTCAAGACCTCTTAACTGACCCAAGCAAGCCAAAGATTGGTCCGTAGAGCGTGCTATGGGGCCCTTTGTACGCATACTGTTGAGCTCATCTGATGAAAACATATAAAAAACACACCTACCATAGTCATCTAGGTCTCGGCAATTGCTCTTGTAAAGCTTTACGCTCCGAAGTCAGCTGGCCTCGCCACCCTCATCTTGCACGACGAAGTCAAAGGAGAGGATGTGGCGGCCATTCGTGCGTGCGCCAATCTGCCCAAAACAGAAGCCCAAGCCTAAACAAACCTTCCGGGCTGCTGCAGATCGTCATGTTTGGGGTACAGTGTCGAACCTTTGTAGGCCCGGATTCTGGTTATATAGGGATCATGTTGGGGCCTGGAATGGCGACGACGACGACGACGCTGCTGAGTCTTTTGACACCAGGCTTCTTTGGGGGACGCCACAGTTTTGCATGAAACCAACCGCTCTTTGAAGCTACACGCGTTGAAGTCACATCATCCTTAGCATTTTTGCTGGTACAAAAATCTGTTGGGTCCGACTGCTGACCCTCTCTTCACGACAGCCACATGCTGTTGCCCAAGGAAAATAGCCCTACACCTTCTGCTCATTTTCCTTCGCCTTCTCCATAATTACTCGAGGTTGATGGTTTGTGAAGCAGCACGCACCTCGAACTGGAAGGTGCCAGAACTGATTGCATTCTTGGACCTTCGGAAGCACAGGGCAAGGGCCCGGCTTCTCAACAGGCGAGCGTGCATTGCTTGCACATTGGGGTTCGGGAGGTCTGGAGCTCTTTTGTGGGTGGAAGGGGCCATGTGGACAACTATGCAGGGAATCTTTTTTTGAAGTTTCAGAGCTATGTGCATGCCCCTTGCTTGCGTTCTTGTGCCCCGTCATAAGGACTGAAAATAATGCTAGGCTCAGTCATGATTTTTCCGAATGTGATAACTTATCAGCGACAAGTGGAAGATTCCCTATCACTCCGTTTAGACGGGCCAAACCTGGCCTGCAATGGTGCGAACTCTGGTCAAGGAGGTCTATAAGGCACCATGCTGGTAACAGTGTGAAGACAGGCTGCCTATGCAACTCCGGCTGGTTATTCCGGGTATCAGCTGAAATCCGAAGTCAAGCCCCTAGCCGCGTATTCAAAAGCCTCTCTCATTCTTCTGGCTTATGCGGCTCCAGGGTGCGGGCTTCAAAGTGTCCTCCAGCATGTAGACCACATGGGGGATGTCCGCCCTTGCTGTATTCACAGGCAGCTGCGGGACCGTTGGGGCATTGCATCTACAAGTTAAGGGATTACATCAGAGGTTCCCTTCTCTCCCCCTTTTTGCAAGAGGCTTCTCGCACCTACACCCTAAACCCTAAACCCCAAACCGCGTGGCTAAGTTTCAATGGAGATCTGTATATGCAAGACTCCGGTGCAGGGGGCTTGATGCCTTGCCAAAGCTGCCAATGCGCTAGGGATATCAACGTCAACCAACTCTAAGCAATACTTACGCTAAGATATCACGCCTTCATGCTGGTATGGATGCTTCAAGAACTCACAAGGAAGCAGCTCTACATCAATTTGCCTCCTTGCAGTGTTCCGGGCCCTTCGAGAAGTTATATCGAGGCAATTCTATGTCAATTCCCAGCCCCTGCATGTCGTACCCCAGGGCTCCACCTACCCCAAAGTATGCAACATCTTCAGACTTTGAGGCCCAAAGAACCTATCTGTAGGCTCGAAGCTCTAGAATAAAGCCACATCACGAAGCATGCAGGCTAGTCTAGAAGCAGCAAATTTTCCTCATCCAGAACCACTCCTTATTGCAAGTAGGTTAGTCGAAAGGATATTTGGCGTCTGCGTATGGTTATCATGGGTCATGGCTCACAAGTTGCAAGTTTCCCTGGTCCTTCAAGTCCTTCCTAAATCCAGACCTTTCCTCGGGTCAAACCATGTGAAACTGTGAAACCCATGTAGCCCATGTCAAACTGGCCGAACTGTGGGATGCGTGCTAATTATACTGAATTGAAGCAAATCCCTTGACAATCCCCAATGTAACCCTAGCTCCCCTTTGGTTCTGCATTTTCCTCTCCGTTTGATTCTCCATCACAGTGGCCAGTTTTCCATACCCCAAACCCTAAGCCCTAAATCCCGAGAAGCCGACTCCGTGGCGTGAGTGCAAAGGTCCCATGTCCTCTGCTAATGGACTTTTAGGGGTCTTAATGTGCGGGATTTGGGTTTGGGCGTTTACGTCTCTATGCGGATTTGAGACTGTTTTGCCAACTTTGCACCTTGTGCTCTGGGCAGCAAACATTAGTCACATGGAGGCTTAAACTCTTAGAGATTACGCTTGCAAGCTTCAGTTGAACAATCTAGCACGCTCGAGCGGAGACCATCTGGCTATATCACTAGGGTCTTACATAGTAATGCTGCATTACTTTACGGAGGAAGAATAAAACCCTAAAGCTAGTAGCTTCCAGTTTTGCATTATCCAAATATGACCCAAATACCCCTTATGTAACCCCATCACCCGTATGACGCATATATATATATATGTATATATATATATATCCCTGTACGACGCCCTATATAATCCCTAGCCAGCTTTAGGATGCAAGGCATGACTGGAACTCGTCCAGAACCTCAAACGGCACACCTTACCACTAAGGCCCGCGCCACAGCTCTTCGCGAGCTCCCTTGCCAGGGCCTGAATTTCAGATCCAACTATACAGTGGAAGAATAAAACCCTAAACCCAGTAGTTTCCATGTTCTTTTCCATCATCTCTGTATACCTAAGAAGGAACACAATGCGTATATTGTGATATATAAGGATGTATAGCAATATATAGAGATGTTTTCAAGCTATCATGTCTGAGATTGTTTCCTTCCTGCTGGCTTGGAGATCCTTTTTTGGGCTCTTGGCCTGCATGCCACTCACTTTGACTTAGAGTTTCGAGCCTGCTCTTGCATGAAATGCAAACGGAATGCAGGGCTTAGAGCTTATCATTCCTAAATGAGTTGTAGTCTAAACTCCTTAAAGGGGGTTATATATATGGGGGATCATATAGGGGAGTACTGTAGGGTGTATCGGATACTAGGAGTGTAGACTATAGCTCAAATAGGCCTGCAGAACTGGCTTGCTTAATGCTCACTTCCAGGAAGGGGCTGGCAACTTGCAAGAAACGAAGGCCTCTGTGGGGCGCTTTAGGCTGTTGGGGTATCGTGGGCGCAGGCTTAAGGATGTCAAGCGGCATTTTCACCCAAAGCTAGTGTTCTAAATGTTGCAGCATGTCACATCTACTGGGCAAACTCCTTACTGGTTCTCAGTTAGGAATAAAGGAACATAATCCCTCTATAGTTCCCATATAACTTATTCCCTCCTTCCCTTCTAAGCACCAGTAATACTCAGAGTCTCAAGTTTCACTCCAGACTTGCGAGGATTCTCAGTTTACAAGCCCTAGGCAAAACAGCCAAGACACTTCCCTTCAGAAGGCAAAAGGTCTCGACTCCCCGACGCTCTAGCATCTAAAATCTGAAGCCTAGTTTTTAATGTGCCACTTGATTATCCATTTACCCTTAACCCCAAATTTGGCTTGGATCTCGGTTTCCATGTTCTTTCCATTTGCTTCTACATTATTGGGCTACCCCTACTCATCCTCTATAATCATATCATGCCCTATATCTTAACCCACAAGCTCAACAAACCCTAAACCACAAAAACCCCAAACCCTCCCAAACCACATGAGCTATAGTCTAAACTCCTAGTATCCCCATTAATAACCCCAATAGTAGTCCCCTAAATAATCCCCCTTAAGGAGTTTAGGCTATAGCTCACATGGCTCTGAGTCTCCCACCTGGCATTGGGGACCACAGCCGAGCTCCCCCAATGCCGTTGAAGGGCCGGGCCTAGGAAACAAGGTCTTAGGGCTTAAGAAACAAGGTTTTACGCTAGGTGGACCCCCCACCCAGTAATAGTGACTGAGGGATAATAGGGATTGTATTAGGGTCCGCTTATATTACAGGGATGGGGGTCCTCCTAGATTTGACGCTTTAGGGTTTGAATATCATCCTCTCAGAGTTTAGGATTTTAGGGTTCAGGGCTTAAGTTTGAGCATTATCTAAGGGTTTAGGGTATACCTTTGTGGTAGGTTGGCGAAATATGGCCCATCCTTGAGACTGCCGCAAAATACAAAACCTCCTGTAGTACCCCAAGATGGGTCATGGTTTTTACAACCTCCCCATATGACCTCTACATAGTCCAGTTTCCATGTGGTTTTCCAATTGATTCTCCATGAGTCTTAGAGAGCGCAAGTCCTCTGAAGATGGAATGCTTCTGTAGACATCATGTTCAGAATCCATAAAACCTAGATGCACGCCAATATGTGTTGCCTAGCTATTGACACTCTTGGCGTCTAGGGCCTTCAGCACCCTTGACACGTCAATTGACACCGCCACACGGGCCATGATTTGAAAAGAAGCATGCCTTTTGGGGCTCATTCCTCAGGGTGCAGAACTCTTTGCGATCTTCCAGGTGCATCCCCGTCAATGCCTTTGAGAGTGCACTTCTAAAAATGACGTTTCCATCAAGGCTCAATATCTCTAACATGTGGCGCTTGCGCGGCAAGCTTGGGCGAGGACCAGAAGCACACAAACTCTTACAAACACAGAAAAACACAAGTGTGCAATGGCTTTATAGTAAAAGAATAGTAGTGTTATGGTAATGGCATAGTAATAGTACCGTCTGAGAATAGCAATAGCAGCATGTAGAGACAGTCACCTCTCTCAGGCACAGGTCCTCAAAAACAAAGCCCTGTAGCGGAAGGATAACAGACTGAAAGCTGAGAACTACCCACTCAATGCATTGCTACAGCGCTACAAGGCAAACCTTGCAGACCACTTGGTCGAAGGTCCGCAGTGTGTACGAACCAAGCTCCAGAACCTGATTCTCAATCACCTACTATCAACAGACGAGAAGACGGCTTTTGCTGGGCAGAGGAAGCCGCACTGAGCGGCTTCGCCAGCTCCGGAATGCTTCACGGCTTTGCAGGGACCATCTGAACATGGTAGGGTTTCGGGTTTAGGGTTATCATCATTGGGTCATATTGACCTTAGACCCGGCCAGCGTCCAGACAGCTCATTCCGCTACTGAGCAGGGGTCAAACTAACTCAGGGATGCTCAGCATGTAGCAAAGCATCTGTCCAACCAAGGCCGAGTAACCACTCACATGGGAGATGGCAACTTGGCTTGCAGGCTGGTCTACTTCTCTTACAACCTGGAAATGATCATCTAATCTGCTGGCAGTAGGTTTGCTTCAAGAAGCCATCTGCACTGAAGCGGTCACTTCCAACAGCCGCTACAAAGACGTCTCAGCCCAGCAAGGCCTCAGAGTTCGAGGTGCAAGTTTGCAGTTGTTTAGAGAGTTGAGAGCTTTGAGTTTGAACGCTTAATCAGCGTCTGTGTAAGTACAGGATGCTAGCCTTGACAAGCTTTGCCCATAATTTTTTCAACCATGAGATGGTTACCGGAGGAATGCTATCCTGTCCCATTGTACCACCTCTCCGTGCCAAGCGTGCAACACGAAACAATCGCAAGTAAAGACTTTGCCAGGATGGATGTGCAATGGGCTGTTGGCATGTCAGAGTTGCTATGCAAACGACTTGCAGCTCTGCTTATTTGAGTTGATTGATTGCATGTGCTAGTTGCAAGGTCTAGGGCTCAGCGTTACCAGGCCAAAGGAAGAAGCGCCAGTGCGGGTGAGCGGGGCAGGGGCAAGGGGATTTAGCAAACTACTTACTCTTGGAAAGGAAAACCCGGCAACCTGAACTCTGAACCTTCAAACTATCATAAAGTCAGCCCGCACACCAAAACCTGAATGCAAAGTGCCAAAGAGCCAAAAACAAAACTGCGTGAAAGAGTGTTGTATTGGGGATTATAAAGGGGGATAGTACAGGGGCCATTAAGGGTGATAATCTGTACTAGGAGTTAAGACTATAATTCAAAGGCCGTATGACCTTCCCTGGAGGATGGGCGGGGGTGACGGTTTAGGGCCGTTTAGGGTCAGTGGCATCTGGGGTTATGACGTGGATATCAAGCTTGGTAGCCATCTTGCTCGCAAACTGTCATGACTCCATTTCCGGCAAAATGGGCCTCAATTGGAAGCTCTAATCCCTATAAGCCAAACTACCATATACCCCCAGTGACCACTTCATTTTCCATGTCCGTTGCCATTTCATTCTCCAGTAATTATTGGGGATAGATTGACCGGTTGTTCCAACTTCTGCTAGGCAGCACGACCAGCGAGGCGTTGTCGGGTTGATGAGCCCCAGCTTCGAATTCTCCTTCACTGAACACTGCAGGGCCATCAGGGCCTCGTTCGGGGCATTGGAGAATGTGTACTTTGGGTCCTGCCCCCATCCAGTAGCAGCCTATAATAGGGGTAATTAAGGGCTATATATAACCATAATATGAATATTATCAAGCTGTTCTCCATCTCCTTGGAAGATGGCTGCTGGTTGAAAGTAAGCTTGCTCATCATAGCAAACAGAACACCCGAACTGAAACCCCAAACCCTAAACCCTAAATAGTAGTTTTCAATCCCAATATAACACCAAAATAGCCCTAATACTACCCGAATGGGTACCTATACCCCAGGTTTCCATGATGAATTTTGCATCTACAGGACATTGTGTAGGCCAGAACTGACGCGAGCATTTTTTGTGCATGTTTTCTGGGAGTAGCCTCCAAACATGCACTTGACAGTGATGTAAAAGCAAGCACGTACCTCTTCAAAGAGTCCATCCACCCACCCTAAACCCTAATATGGTAGTTTCCCAAAATAGGGGGACCCAATATAGACCCCAAAATACTAAAGTCCTTATTATTGGGACCCCCAAAAGGGTACCCCTAATTTTGGGAACCCCCCATACTGTGGTATTTCTACAACAAGACTCTCCGCATCAAGTCACCCCAAGGCGAGCCTTAGGCGCGAGGCCCTGCTGGTGGTCGGAAATTGTCCGCAAGAGTTCGTGCCTTCCACTACAACTTGGTGATATATAGGGATCATGGAAAAGAAAACGGAAACTACTTTTTAGGGTTGGGCTATATAAGCATTCTGGAAAAGCAACTGGAAACTGCTATTCAGGGTTCAAGGTCTCGGGGATCTCTGCAGGTGCTTGGAGTGCCATCTTTTGGGGCTTTCTGGGGCTTCTGTCCGGGTCCCTTCGCCGGTGTCCCCAAGCGCTAGGCAAGACCGTGGAATTCCCTACGAATTAGGACCGCGAAGAGTGCATTCACACAAAGAGTCCCTTTGCTACCTTGAAGCGAACCCCCTAGAACAAATGCCTGTCAGGAAAACACCTATCGCAGGCCTCTCACCTACACAAGACTCTGATTGGCGTCCTTGCATTTGCAGTGCTGGGCCAGACAGCATTGCCTACGACAAGACGTCACTGCCCTTTACTCCTACCCTTATCTCTCACCCCCCGTAATGACGTATGTTCACCAACGATATGATGGTACTATATAGGGGGTATTCAGTACTACGCGGGTGGGGAGCTGACTACTAGGGGAGGAGATTGCGAACCTCAACCCCCATCACCTCTCAAAACACCCACAGTAGATAAAGCCTAGCTAGCCTTGTATCCTGGTCCATGTATTCCGGGTGGGCCACAATGACCTTGGGCGGAAAGGCCGCGATGGTGAGGCAACAGCTGATGCTTCTGCATTAGCGCGCTCCAAACCACTTCAAAGACCGTAGCCTTTACAGGGCCCTTTTCGGCCTGCATTTTTTAGGGAGTGTTGAGGTGTCTCGATTTGCTTTTAGAGATTGGCACCCCAAGTTGCAATCGGCTTGGCAGGGAGCTAATGAAGGCATCGGGGCATTTCCCTATAAAGTGCTATATGAGCCATTGTCTAAACTCCTAGTATCCCCCTTAATAACCCCTATAATAGTCCCCTATATTAACCCCTATATAACCCCCTTTAAGGAGTTTAGACTATAGTACATATAGTCACAGCTTGCATTTCATTGCATATGCTCTTTTCCATTTGATTCTCCAAACAATTGGGGGGTAAACCCACAAAACAGGGGCTGTTATTTTTGGAAACCCTCACATGTCATCTGATGAGCTGCAGACGCCCCCCAGAAGTTGTCTGAGACCCTTGAAGCTGTCCATCCATGACTTGACAAGCTACGGTTATATAGGGGTTCTATTCTAATAACAGAAAAGAAAGCGGAGACTACTTTTGGGGGTTTAAGGTTATCCGGTTATCCCGCATGCCATAAACCCCAAGCATCAAGGCCTGACTCTAAACGCCCTTCTTTCAATCCATTCAAGTTCTGAAGCTGCAACATCAAAGCCCCCGAACCAAAACCCTGAACACGCTGAACCCTAAAAGCCTTACTGTTGTCCCAACAATCCTGCATGACTTCCCAGAGTACAAAGTGCTGAAGGCTAAACATAGTAACACCCAAAGTTCTAAACACCTCATACGCAAGTTTTCGGCCACGGCGCTGTCGGCTCCTGGGTTGGCGCCGGAGTGGTTGGTACCGACTTGGGCGAACCCACGCGCTGCACCTAATTCTTTTTTTGTCAGGTCTTTACGGTCTATATGCTTCAGTGATGATAATCAGGATTCAGGGTTCAGGGCTTTGGTATTTCTGAGATATGTCAAGGACAGAACGCGATGGCGCCCCCGAAAGATTCAATGAGACTACGATGTTATCGTGATAACCGCCGCGGGGAGTTCAAAGGAACAACGGCTCGGTGAAACCGCTGAAACCGCATGTACTTTAACATCTCCTATAGTAATCCCCTATATAATATAATCCCATCTATAACCCCTACTACCTTTTTCGGAG